AAAACCACACTTTTTCTGAGTTTTTTTATTTTACTTTTTATCAGGATTTGTGAAAGTTCTTATATATAGACATGTAGAAACAGTTGTCATGCACGGATTGGCAGCTGCAGGGGAGAACAGAAATGTTAATTTCATGTTTCATGATTGAAGGAGCACACACAATTTCTAATGGGACCTCTCCCCCATTCAGGGTCTAAAATTGACCGGTTATGTCACTGTTCACTCCACTGCCTTGCTGACCATCTCTCAGACTCAGTCTTCGCAACAGCAAGGTGCAGCTACTAATGGTGCTCTGTCAACAAGGCTGATACAGGAATTACAGAGATAAAGTATAATCTACACTTTGAATGTGTGAAATGCACTCTTTCTTCTTCCCTGCCAACAAGTCAATCTGACTAACAGCAGCCCTATGAATGAATGTCCTTCAGAAAGTCCTGTCCTTGACAATCCAGCTCTGTTCTTGTAAATGAAATGCACCCTATGAATGCTAAATATTAGGACAACACTATCTATGCCCATAGCAACATCCATTGACGTTTCTTTGAAACTTGTTTGAAAGCTAGTTGCTCTGTGTTTGCACAACATGATAAGCCACCCAACACCTGATGTGCCCAACAGTTGATCTCTAACGCCATGACAATGGAACCAGTGACTTAGAGAAGGTTTGGCTGTCCCACACTGGAGGGATCCAAGATGGAACTGGACAGCCATCTGAGCAGGCGTTGGGCCCAACGGCCCTCTGGCCCCTTCCCATTCTGCTACCCTTTGATTCTATCAACCCACCCTATCCCCCACAGGCATCTCAGGGGATACTACAGAAACAGTAAGCTTTTTCCTGCTCCCCACTACTGCTTGGCAGCAGCACCAGGGAAGGGGAGCACCCACTGCTGAAGCAACAGGCGTTGCCTGCCACTGCACCCAACACAACTCCATAGCAACCTCTACCTTAAAATAGAAATTGAACCTCCAAACCTCACAGGTAGATCTTTCCTCCCATAATTTATATGAGTGTACAAAGCCCTTTTCTCTCATGCAAGCTCACAAACATGGGGAAAAACATGCTTATGACATTGCATTTGTTTGATTCTGTCTGCAAAGTTACAATTAGCCAAGTCCAACACCCTTGTTAGAAATGCTACTGGACAGTGGGACGATTTATCACTGCTTTGCCAGGACAAGCAAGTGATGAACCTCAAAACTGTAAACAAGATGTGAAAAGTGGAGATGGACCTGTTTTTCCACCCACACTAGTCAATGCTGAGTACTGCTGGCCTTAATCACAACATGGGGATGGATGTAGCCATTGCATGCGCCAGGAGACAATGTTTTGAGGACTACAGCAAACATTTCCAACAATGTTTCCTATAATTAAAGAGGGATCTCAACTCTTCAACTCCAAGTGATATTTCATTGTGGCAGCCTAATATTATAGTTTGATTTAGCAGCAAACACAATATTCTGTACTTGGGGAGTGAGGCGCAGCTCTCTGCCTCACTTGCTAAGGGATGTCATCTTAATGCAAGGCAGCAGAGGTACGTAGTTGTGCTGTAGTCTCTGGCTCCCAAGCAAAGCAAGCATCCCCATGCCACAAAGGGAAGGGCCCCTGTCACCAGTATGAGAGGAAACACTGTGCTAGATCCCAAGACCCACCATGTGAGGAAAGCTTCCTATACTACCATGCCAGCATAACCCTGGCACACATAAACCTCAATTTTATATCAATAGTGCAGACTTCCATAAATTCGTTTTTAGGACTAGGGTATAACACAAAATTATGCTCTAACATATCAATCCCAATATGATCACATTCATTATGAAAGAGGGAATATGCCTATGACTTTAAAGGTTAGCAGGAAGAAAGCATGCCTGAGCAGCTGCCGAGGTCAGTGCAATGGACCTGCAGAAACCCTACGCACAGTTTGTTATCTGCAGTTCAGTGAATGGCTGCCTATCACAAACAGCATTTGAAACTTCACACTGTTTCAGCAGCAGTTTCCCATGCAGCTGTTTTTGCTGCACAAACTTTAAAACATCCACCACCACCACCTTCAATGGAAAGGGATGCTTTGGATTGTAGCCTAGATATAAAACCAAGAAATGTATCAGCTTGTTCATGCAAATAAAAATAAGGGGAGGGGAAGGGAAGGAAGAGAGGGAAGGGAACTCAGTCGAATATCAAAAATGTAACACTGAATGGCTAAGGATGCTTTATATCAAGAAATGCACTGAGGTGAGCAAGGAGAAGAAATGACAAAAAGGCAGCTTTATGCTGACAGGCAGGGTTAAATGATGACAGTCTAATAATTTAGTCACTTGCATGTCCCAGATACCTTAATGTTCTAATGATTTAAAGAAAGACACAGAGACTGACCCCAGACAATAGGGCAACTGGCTGTAGTTTAATGCATGAGAGCCTGCATTACATTCTTAAGTTAGCAAGATTTTATTAAGAGTTGTTCACAGGGCCTAGTGAAGCAGAACAGTTTAATTTACCCTCATTCTTACAGAAGAATATTTTTGTTAGCTATCAAACTCAGAAACGGCAGGGTATGGCGGGGGGGGGGCAACTATTTAAAAGATTCACTAACCCTAAAAATTCCAAAGGAGGCACAGTCACAGAACTAAATACTGGCCTTACAAGAACATTTCTTTCTGATGTATAACTAACACAAAGGCCAAGGTCATTTCAAAATTCACCTGCATTAACCAGTTTCATTTTAAATATGGAATCCCATATGGGTCAATTTTAGCCTGAAAACATCCCCCTTTTTATGAAAATACAGGAGTGACCCCATTGTCCCAAAGCACTCTTGGGAACAAAGGGCAAAGACCCATATAGGAAATTCCAGCACTCCTTGCTCTATGCACAAGACGGGAGGTGGACTTAATTCTTTCAGGTATGATATGGTGCCAGAAGGACTACATCATCAGCCCTCTGACCCCCACATGGACAGCACCATTTGTGCTCACAGGTATAATTTCTGCATGTAACATATGTGCAGGTGGATAAATGTCACAAACCTATTCATTTGCGTAATGGGACTTTGTGGGATCAGGCATATAGTAAGTGTATATGCTTTTGCTCCATTTTTGTTAAAACAGCTTTCAGATAAGCCCTGAAAAAACAAAGTTGGCACAAGCACCCCCCAAATTGTGATCTAAGAGATAAATATTTTGAATGGCATGCCGTACACCATAATTGTACAAGATGTTGGCCACTTTTATATCATGCCAAATGAAACTACTCCCCTGCCCCCAAGGTTAAGAGCTTCTATAAAGCCATGTCACCTTTAACTTGGCTGCTTCCTAATCCCTTCTTTATAGTGACCTTTACTGACATAGGTAAACTCAAATGTAGTGTATGGACAAACAGACCTAGATCTCAAATTAAAGTATGGCATTATTAAAAACAAGAAGTGTTTTTAATGTACCACCTGCCTCTCATCTAACATGCGATGTTGGAGCTGTGATTTGACCTAGCAAACAGTTTTGTGGGTGAATATTGAGAATGCAGTCCATTAAAACTATGCTTAATAAAAGCTTTAAGATATCTGCTAGGAAGTAATGAACAGCCATAAAAGAATGCCAATCTGAGATGTTGAAAGAATCCAACTCTTTAAAATTAAGGACACACTTGGACTTTGATGATGTTCTGTGGAATTAGTGAGAAGATAATTTTTGAATGTAATTGCTTTTGATTTCTAAGTCATACAAAAACACTGTTAGGAAATTCAATCACAGATCACACCTTAGCCTGGGGAGCATGTGTGTGGGGAGGCGCCTTACTTTCCTCTCCAGGCATCTATTTTGTTTCCATGTTCAAGACTAAATGATCCTTTCCGAGTTATCCACTGCTGCCTAGAAATTGGTTCTCAGACCACAGCTATCAAAAATCAAGTAGAGAAGGCCACCTTTCATTTTAAATACATGAAAAAAGTTCGTTCTTTAAAAACAAAATAAAACAAAATACTCCTACACATAAGGCACCAGCCAGTGTACTGTTACATAAGACACCTTCTTGAACCCACTTTAGAACAAAACTTGTTTCTTCTATTTAGAAACTGAGGAGGAGGCGGAAGGAGCAAAGCCATGGGGAATATTTAAAACAGAAGAGAGTATGTATGTATGCATAATCACACCTTAACACACAAGCAGCGATTAGTATTTCAAATCAATCTAACCGATACTTCCAGCCAGGAGAATGGACAAGCTAAAGTGCTGTCATTTCCCTACAGGGGGAAGGGGGCTGAAACAAACCTAGTATTAAAGACAAGCACTCTTCGGAAAGCGGGGGGGGGGGGGGGCGATTAGTTCCTGCCTCCTAGCTTCTTTGGAAAACGGCTCTCTTCTTTACGGCTTGCTCTCTCGGTCCCTTCTCGCAGGGAGAGTCGAACACGTATACCCGTATCTCTACTAGGCTCTCTCGCCGTAAAAAGCGTGCCTTTCTATCAGACCTCCACATCAGGAAAGCATATGAGGAATTTGGAATGGTGCTGGGTTTTCTTATCCCCGTCCCCACACACATTGCCCCCTCCCCGAAAAAAAAGTTAGCATAACGAAAATTGCTGCCTGAAATGGACAGGAAAATCGGGAGAAGCAACCAAAGCATACGGTGAGATAAGGCAGGTGCTTACAAAGAATTTATTTCCCTATCAAAGAAGCTCATAGAACAACCCGATCCATCTAAAGAGAAGCAGGACGGATAGAAGAGGGTGGCAGGCTGTAGGTGAGAAGAGAGGGGCACAGAGGAAGCGAGGAAAGCTGCAAAATCTTGCAACAGGTGACTGCTATTCGGCGAGGCACACAAAGCAAACGGGCATGCAACGCCGGCACCGCTACTAGAGAGCAGGGGCAGAAAAAGAGTGTGCCCACCAAGGAATCCCGACGCAGCCGAGAGGACCCCCACCGGCTGCGGGGCAAAGGGGCGGAGAGGCCATGAGTGCGGCGCAGCCCCTCAACCCGACCCCCACCCCCCAGGGTGCCATACGACGGGATCTTACCTTGTAGACATTTTCGGTGATCCTGTGCACCTCCTCCGAGCGCGACATGACGATGCCGGGGGCTCCGGGCAGCACCATAGACCGGGCAGGGCGCAGAGCTCGACCGTGAGCGCGGGAGACGCAGCAAGTACTGCAGCTAAGCTCCGAGGACGATGCAGGCGGCGCGGCAGGGAAAGGCGCGACGTTTTATATCGCCTCCCAGGGCCTGGCTCATCCCACGGCAGCCGCCTCCTCCGCCTCCACCCGCCCCCGGCCCCGCCTGCTCCGGATTGCTCTGCCTGCCCTGGCGGTCGCCTGGAGGAGCGCAGCCTGAAAAGGGCGGGCAGTGGGAAGTCGGGAGCAGGAGTCAGGCAAGGGGCAGGCGGGGGCGGGGGCGGGCTGGAGTTACGCCCGGGCTCCGCGCGGGGGTGTCCACGCAAAAAGCCCCACGCAGGGGCCGGCACGTGCACCCACGCAGAGCTGCCACCTGGGGAGCAGCTGTCCACCGCCCAGTCAGCCCTGCGAAAAGGGCCCATCTGCCCTCACGCGCGCCGCCTCACAGCAAGACCATGGGCAAAGCCGTCCCCGCTCCTCCCGCCCACAGGACAACGCTGCCCCATCGTTACACACACACACGCACACACAACTGGGAGAGAAAGCAGTGCTTGCTGTCCTGTCATTAGTTAGTCAGACCACCCTAGCAAACACTTGATCCATCCGCCTCTTCTGTTGCTATGACTGGAGCCTATTCACACAGCACATGGGAGCAGCAGCCATTCAGCCAACCCCTGCTGACTCCCAGATAACTCCTACGGACTGAGCTGATCCGAGGTGAATGTAGATAAGCGGGTGCGGGAGGAGAGATCAGTCCCCTCAAAGGCGAACAGCACATGCTGCTCAAGGGAAGTATGGCGCCACGGCAGAGCAAGTGCCAAGCTCATCATCCAGGCAGCACCCGCACATAAACACCATGGCACTGTGTTTCAAACATTCCTCAACCAGGCAGCATAACATTAGATGAACTGGAGGCATACACCACTCTTTGCCACAACTTACACAAAAACTGGCTTAAATCTGAACCAAGGCTCAACAAGATTTAGTCCTGGAATCTGTTTTGATGCTTGCTACCCTCCCCCACCCCCACCCCCCTCTCTCTCACACACACACACAATATACCATAGAGAACAGTGGATGTCTATATATGCAGAAAGCTTCTCTCTCCTGTCTGAGTAACACAAACTTCACCAAACATCTGAAGTTAGGGCTAGAAAATGTATTTCCAGACTGGCACCCCTCCCCCCTTAGAACTGCACTGCCCACACTGGGGAAAAAAAACGTGCTGCAAAAAGGGAAGACACCATTGACATCTTTAAGTAACTCCACATCATTGCTTTCCAGGATAGGCTGGATGTCCACATGGTGGGCATGTCGTGAGCGGAGCCGGCTGGTGCCGGAGGTCAGACTAGATGGCCAGGGAGACCCATCTGACTAGCTCTGTTTCTATGTTTCCCTAATTCTCAGAAATGCATGGGCAGTCCAGAGAACACCATCTTCTGCTGATAACCCTCCCATGTTTCCTTGTCACTTCCTCTGGCTTTTTTCTTGTCACAGAAAATCAATTAAGGAAAAAAAGACAGAACAACTGCAGGATGCTTTCTGATTGGTAGTGCTATGATCCCCCTGTCTGGAAGCATCCTCTCCTCCTCCCAGTCCCCTGGACACAGCAGAATACATTGCAACTGAATGCTGCACAAGGATTTGCCACAATAAAATCATAGAATACATCAATTTCTTCCATATACATATGCCAGTAAAAAGCTGAAACAAAGCAACATACTGCAATACACAAACCTGAACATGAATCCCCCTCCACATACTCACATCAATTTCTTTCATAAATATACATGGTTTCAAGCCCAGCCTTATGGTACTCAAAACAAATGTAGTTTTGCTATTCTTTCCAATAGGCTTGTTCAGAGCAAACTATACTACTGTGTCACTTTGAGAAGGAAAAAGAGGACCTGGTCCTGATCCAGCCTCCTGGATGGCCACATCATCCTGCTTCTGGTGCCTCTCATTCCCTATTCATCCCTCTTAACTTCTCACTTGACTTTCTGGGCATATCTGTGTCTCAGAGGAACAACTGTCACCCCAAAGCCCCCAAGTACTACTGCTAGAAAGCCAGCCCTAATGAAAGAAACTATAGGAGTGCAATCCCATGCATGCATAGACAGGAAAAAGGCTTTCAAGTTCCAGCATGAGCCAACCAGCCATGCTTACTGGAATTTGCAAGCCTTTTTCCTGACTAAAGAGACAATAGGATAGCACAATCAAGATTTGGTTTGCTTTTTAACAGATAAGTGAGGAGAAGAAGGAAGTGTTTGGATGGATGGATGGATAATGGGTACATTAAGACTAACAAACACAGATACTGCTGAGGAACAGATAAACAGCCTGGTAGAACAACCCCTCACATGCAAAACCATAGAAAACTCTGGAAGGGCCGCCATGGAGCAAAGATCAGAAACATATAGGAAGAGGCCATGCTCCAAAGAGAAATCAGGAGAGCAAACTGTTGTGGCTTCTATGGGCCCAGAGCTACTCCAAGGTGCCAGGGGGAATTTGAGAGAAGCCATTTACAGTAAAATGTGAATGCTACAGGGAGACAGGTAAGACGCTTCTCTCAAGTTAGTGTCCAGAGAAACTAGAAATTTGAGGTCTCGACAATTAAGACTTTGGAGTCCCATCTTCAGGGACAGACTAAGACAATTTGCTGCCTGAAGTGGAGAACACACGCAAAGGGCACACACACACACACACACACACACACACACACACCCATTCCATGAACAGAATCCAACCGATCAGGCTGTTCAGTCTTACTTCAGCATGGCTGACAGCATCTGTGAGCAGCTGGCTAGGTTAGGGAAGGCTGTGTGGCGCACACAGCTCTGTTGCCCCACATCTTGTTGCTGCTGTGCAACCCACCTCTCCCTGTCTAAAGGAAGGGCTGTATCCCTCATGGGGGAGGGCTGTGGGCCTATTCAGGAGAACCCATAAGGAGGAGAGACCAAGGACATGGGAATCTTCATGTGGGCAACAGCTGGAAGCAAGCTCTCTGGCTGAAACTCACTTCCTCTCATCCATGTACAGTTTTCATGGAAAGATTTACTCAGCATATAACAATCAGCTGGGGATGCTGCAGTTCCCAACCTGTTTGAGTCGGCGGGTGTTGTGGAATTTCAAGCGTGCCATGGTGCTCTCACAAAATGGCTACCCAAGGGGCTTGCCCATTCATTAAACGGTAGCCTTGGTCACAAAACACTCACATCCAGAAGGCAAACTGGAGACATAACTCGGCCAAGAACCTCACATACAAGATGGAGTCTGCACTCCAAATCAAAAAGGCACTCTTCTGAACTCAAAACTGAGGGCAGCACTTAACTATGCAGCATGCCAGCCTTCCAGTGTGGCTATTGTGATGGTCGATAAAAGCATGGAATAAATAAATAAATAAAAGTTGGAATAAAATTGGGAGGGGCAGGAAGCCTGTTGGTCACCAAGAGAAGCGCCTGTGGGCCCATTAACAGAGATATGCACCTTGTTGGGGACCTAGGTATACAGGGAAGTATGTATCTCTCCATTACAGTTTCTCTTGCTTTCTCATTTTTTCCTATGTTAAGTTCCACTTGTATCCAACTTTAGATATTTTTGTAAATTCATCCCAAACTTGGAGATTTTTTTAATTGTTCACATGAAAATGTATACTCATCTTTGTGTATATTTCTCCTAGTACATCCTATTAAATTTTGCCTAATCACTGTACAAGCACTTTAAAGCACTTTAATGCTATTTTCACCAACCTTCACATTTTTGTGCATACTTTCCTTCAATAACTACATTTCTGTATGCATCTTTTGCCTGAAGAACTGCATAGCAAAATTTGGAGATGTGCACCTGTTGAGGCTCATCAGCACATCTGAAAGTGTCATGAACATCTTCCCAAGAACTTAATTCAGGAGATGGAACAGGAAGCAGGACTGGCTTGAATGCAGCCCTAGCATGAGTTAAAAATCTATACACCTTAATACCAGCATCTCCTCTAAGCTGCAGTCTAGTTTTTCACATTCGCACACCTCACTAACACCACCCCCGCTCATTGGGGAGACACGGCTGCAGATGTTACTTCCTCTCCTTCCTTAATAATTATTTGATAAGCTGTGAAATTGTTGACATTTAAAACAGTATCATCAGAGTGAGAGCTCCGGATGAAATGGACAAGACAAGGCACACCAGGAGGAGGGGGTGACATCTTTGTAGAAACACAAATATAGCTGCCTCAAAACCTGTTGTGACAAATTCACATTTTGGAAAGTACAAAAGAAATGTCAGATAACAGACCAATTATATGAGTTATATCTCTTTTATTCACTGCACGCACACCTGAGAGAAAGGGGGAAGAATTGGCTGCTCAGGCTGTGGCTTCCTCACTTGTCTTTATTTTTGCAAAAACCCAACTTGCTTTATATAATGCTTCTTTTATCAGATACTGACCGTGTTGACAAGAGGCTTAATTTAAATAGCAATATGTAAGTTTATCACATGCAATCTGAATGTGCTCATAAACCACTTAGGCAGCTTAGGCATCCAGTCTAGACAGTCTAGCCACAGTTATCCATGCTCTGGTAACCTCCTAGTTAGGCTACTACAATGAAATATCTGAAGGACTATCCTAGAAAACAGCTAGCACAAAAAGCAGCAGCTAAATCTTTAATTAGGATAGATTGGTAGGGTAGAATCTTGTCAGTTTTGAAAAAGCTTCAGGGGCTGCCAGTTTCTTTCTGAACCTAATGCCAGTGTGGTGTTAGCTGAGAAAGACCTATACCTAGGCACTTTCAAGAAGATTGTCTTCCATAGCATCCTACCCAGATGCCATGGTCATCAGCTGTGACATCCCATCAGTGGAACTCCTTCCCAAAGAAGATTTGTCTGGCAATGTCTTTGTTGTTTCTCTGTACAAGGTAAAGACACTTATTTTTCAACTGTGTCACTTTCATGTATTTAAATGCCTTTGCGGCCACTCCACATGAAAGGATTGGGTCCACTTCTCTCAAAACAGAGCATTCCAAGATGACTGGTTACCTCAGAATCTGAATCTGAAATAAA